GCTATTTTTTTTTAATAGGGAAAAGAGATTCATAAAATTTAAGAGGCTTACCTAGTATCACATAGCTTGCAGGAGCTGTAACTAGTATTTAAACTATGCTTTTGATCTTCAGTCCTTTTCTTTTCTATGACATCTCTGATTCATTTCCCTAAGGAAAAGGTGTCTTGGAGTGCTATTTTGTCTGGTGTTTATAAATGGTGATATTTTCTTTTTGTACCCATGGTCTTAGCTAACCTTACAGTTATGAAATGTATACTTTATGGCTCTGGAAAGGGGTAGGAATTGCCAAGAATAACCCTGTAAGCATTTATAACCACAGAATCAAGAGGCACACAAACACTGGCAGGTCCAGACAGTAATGAATCTCAGTATTTAGGAAGGGCAACATTGAAGAGCTCTGCAAACACAACTTCCTGTCCTTCAAAACCTCAATAAAAGCATAACCCGAGACCAGTGTTCAAAAATAACAGAAGAGCTATTTCCCTTGGTTAGAAAAGTTGCCTCTGGACCAACTTCCACTCTGCTGTCCCTGCCCTGAACTCTGGCAGCGGTCGCATGGCAGAGGTTGTTGGATGGTGTGCCTTGTGCCCTTCTGCACTGCACCACCACCTTAGGAGTAACATCATAATCACACTTGTGTTTTTGAGACAAATCCATATTTTGGCAGATGTTTTTATTTTTAATAACACCTTGATTGTTAGACATGTTCACCTGATTACAGTGTTTATTGAGCTGGTTACTCTGATGGGTTACATTGAGGTAACTGTTAAATTAAGGACTCTTCATGTGAGCCTTGTCATCATCATCCCAGATATGATACGTAAGTAGGCAAAGATAAGGAAAAGAGAAGAAAGGAGAGAGTGAGGAAGCGGAAGAGAGGACAAGAGAGGGAGAGATTGACTGATAATTTACCGCTAAAGAGATACAAAAATACTAATTGTCACTAAACAATTCTTAGCCAATACCGTTCTTTGCAATTACATCTTATTTGAAAAGTATACAGAAAATAAATCATCCTTATAACTTTAAAGTGGGCCTCAGATCACAACTTAAGAGAGACCATTAATATGAGTAAAAGCACAAGACTTAAAATTTATTATCATATTACCTCGGCTCATCCCATATTATTCCAACCCATCAAATCCAGGGACATGGGATCCTTATCAGATGGGCCATGAGCAGTAGTATTTTTGCTGCTTTGAATTCAGAAGTTAGAGAAGGAGAAGGCAAATATAGCAGTTCCATCCTGCGAATTCTGTTGGCCATTTCAAACTGTTGGAGTTATCCAAACAAACCTTGTCTTTTGGCTGTGTCTGCCTCTCATCTCTGGACCTTCACTCTTGCTGTTCCCTTTGATTAGAATGTCCTCTTCACCTGGCCCAAGCTCTCCTTTCAGACATCAGGTTGCCTGTCGGCTTTCCCATACAACCTTCCTGAACTTTCCACAGTTAGGTTACTACCCTTCCTAAATGTTTTCATAATACTTTGTACTTTCCCTAACCAACCAGTTATCTATCTTACTACACCATGAGCTTTTTTGAGATATCTTATGTATCTTTGAAGGCAGTACCTTGCATGATATCAGACACAGAGTAGGTATTCAATATACATACACCAAAAGAATGAGACAGGTTTAGAGGCATGTTGTATGCTTTGGAAAAGAGAGTGAAGTTTTGTTGTTGTTGTTATTGTTGTTTTCTAAAAGTGCTTAGAACTTGTCCAGATATAACTTCCACCAGAGTTAGTTTTTTTCTCCAATAGAACTATAAGATGTGCTGATCACACAGTTTCCTTGTTTCTTGAAACAAGAATTTTTATGGAGAAAGGAATAGATTTATAACTTTGAATATAGATTCACTTAGCACAAGCCAATGTTTTGGCTACATTATTTGCTGAAGATGAGAGATCAGACCTTTAAAAACTCATTTGCATGTAGTGAAAGAGTGATGGCTTTGGTGATCTTGGTTCATTTAACTTTTATGAACTACTAGAGGCCCAGTGCACAAAAATTTGTGCACTTGGGGGGGAGAGGGGGGTCCCTCAGCCCATTCTGTGCCCTATCACAGTCTGGACCCCTCGGGAGATAACGACCTGCTGGCTTAGGCCTGCTCCCGGGTGGCAGAGGGCAGGCCCAATCCCTAGGTGCAGCCCCTGGTCGGGCTCAGAGTAGGGCCGATTGGGGAGTTGGGACGCTGCCCCCTGTCATGACAGAGCAGGGCGGATCGGGAGGTTGCGATGCCACCCCTAGTCACGCTCAGGGTACAGCCGATTGGGGGGTTGGGGCACCGCCCCCTGTCACACTCAAGGCAGGGTCGATAGGGAAGTTGCCACGCCACCCCCTGTCATGCACAGAGCAGGGCCCATGAGGGGGGTTGGGGCTCCGTCCCCTGTCACACACAGAGCAGGGCCGATCAGGGGGTTGAGGAGCTCCCCCCTGTCACATACAGAGCAGGGCTGATCAGGGGGTTGAGGAGCTCCCTCCGTCACTAACAGAGTAGAGCCAATAGGGGAGTTGGGGCACCGCCCCCTGTCACACACAGCAGGGCGGATCAGGGGGTTGGGGCGCTGCCCCCTGTCATGCACAGAGCAGGGCCGATCAGGGGGTTGAGGAGCTCCCCCTGTCACGCACAGAGCAGGGCCCATCAGGGGGTTGGGGAGCTCCCCACTGTCACACACAGAGCAGGGCCCATCAGGGGGTTGGGGAGCTCCCCCCTGTCACTCACAGAGTAGGGCGGATAGGGGAGTTGGGGCAACGCCCCCTGTCACACACAGAGCAGGGCGGATCAGGGGGTTGGGGCACCACCCTCTATCACCCATAGAGCAGGGCTGATCAGGGGGTTGGAGCGCCGCCACTGTCACACTCAGGGCAGGGCCAATGGGGAGGTTATGGCTCTTCCCCATCACACACAGAGCAGGGCCCGTGGCGGGGGGGGTTGGGGCACCGCCCTCTATCACCCACAGAGCAGGGCTGATCAGGGCTGATCAGGCGCTGCACCCTGTCACACACAGAGTAGGGCCGATAGGGGAGTTGGGGCACCGCCCCCTGTCACACACAGAGCAGGGCCCATCAGGGGGTTTGGGAGCTCCCCCCTGTCACACACAGAGTAGGGCCGATAGGGGAGTTGGGCACCGCCCCCTGTCACACACAGAGCAGGTCCCATCAGGGTTTTGGGAGCTCCCCCCTGTCACACACAGAGTAGGGCCGATAGGGGAGTTGGGGCACCGCCCCCTGCCACACACAGAGCCGCAGGGCGATCAGGGGGTTGGGGAGCTCCCCCCTGTCACGAACAGAGCAGGGCGGATAGGGAGGTTGTGGCCCCGCCCCCTGTCACACACAGAGCCGCAGGGTGATCAGGGGGTTTGGGCGCTGCCCCCTGTCACGCTGATCCCGGTGCCAGGAGGCCTCGTGGCTCCACTGATCCCGGTGCTGGGAGGCATATTACCCTTTTACTATATAGAATAGAGGCCTGGTGCATGGGTGGGGGCCAGCTGGTTTGCCCTGAAGGGTGTCCTGGATCAGGGTGGGGGTCCCCACTGGGGTGCCTGGCCAGCCTGGCTGAGGGGCTGAGGGCTGTTTTCAGGCTGGCGGGTGACTGAAGCTCCAAACCACTCCTTTTTTTCTTTATTCTGGGCCAGCTTTAGCTCTGAGGCCTCGGCTCTGGCCTTTGTTTACTTTCTGTAATTGATACAATGTTGCGGTCCGGCTGGCTGAAGCCCGGCTGACTAAAGCGGGTTTCTGGGGTTTTGTTTAGCTTCTATATTTGCAACATAGTTGCTTAGAGTTGCAGCTGAGAGGCCGGCAAGTGAGGCGGGGAACGTTGGAGTCCGCCGTCACTGGAGCAAGCAAGGCTCCCTGTTTGCTTCAGTGCATGGCTGCCGGCCGCCATCTTGGCTGGCAGTTAATTTGCATATCGCCCTGATTAGCCAATGAGAAGGGTAGCAGATGTACGGCTAATTACCATGTTTCTCTTTTATTAGATAGGATATTAAAGAATATGGATCTTTTAATGGCTGCTGAGTCCTGAAGTTGGCAGAAAGTTGTTGTTTTTTTAATTTCTTTCTCCCTATTAATTGGTTTATATATATTGGTAAATATTTCTGGTAGTATTAAATAAAACATATTTTGTTGATAACTTAAAACAATGTTGGTGTATAGCTGAAAACCAGGCATTTATTTATTTTCATTTATTCAATGGGGAAATAGAATAAAATGCTGCTTTATGATAGGTAATACTTGTACAACAAAGAAATATCTAGATATCATGGTCATATACAGCATACATATTTTATTCCTCATTTTAAAGCTCAATCATTCATTTAAAAAAATAAAATATCAACCAAAGCAATAGCCCTCATTTACAAAGATTTTTCATGAGCTAAGCAGTGTATCTTAATCTTCACAAAGCTGCTATAGTTACTATGATCTTTAAAAAAAATCAGCTTTATTGGGGTATAATTGACATGTAACTTTTAAAATATTTAAAATATTCATTGTAGTGAATTGACATACACATGAATTGGGAAAGAATTCAGTCTATCTGGTTAATTAAAAAATCATGTTTTTAAAACATTCCACTTTTTGCTTTTTATATAACAAACTAGAGGCCCTGTGCACAAATTCATGCATGGCTGGGGGGGCAGGGGGTGTCCCTCAGCCTGGCCTGCACCCTCTCCAATCTGGGACTCCTGCCTGCCTGATTGCCCCTAACTGCTCTCCCCTGCCTGCCTGATTGCTCCTAACTGCTCTCCCCTGCCGACCTGATTGCCCTAACTGCTCTCCCCTGCCAGCCTGATCCCCCTAATTGCTCTCCCTGGCCGACCAGCCTGATCACCTCTAACCGCCTCTGCCTTGGCCCCTGCCACCGTGGCTTTGTCCAGAAGGATGTCTGGAAGATGTCCGGTCTATTAGCATATTACCCTTTTATTAGTATAGATGCTCACTGACGACTTTTTTTTTTACACTTAGGTTGTCGTACTGCTCCAACAGATTTAGTTTTCATCTTAGATGGTTCTTACAGTGTTGGCCCAGAAAGCTTTGAAATAGTGAAAAAGTGGCTTGTCAACATCACAAAAAACTTTGACATAGGACCCAAGTTTATTCAGGTGGGAGTGGTCCAATATAGTGACTACCCCGTACTGGAGATTCCTCTTGGAAGACATGATTCGGGAGAGAATTTGGTGGCAGCAATGGAATCCATACATTACTTAGGAGGAAACACAAGAACAGGGAAGGCCATCCAGTTTGCACTTGATTACCTTTTTGCCAAGTCCTCACGATTTCTGACTAAGATTGCAGTAGTACTTACGGATGGTAAATCCCAAGACGAAGTCAAAGAAGCAGCAGAAGCAGCAAGAGACAATAAAATAACATTATTTGCCATCGGTGTTGGTTCAGAAACAGAAGATGCAGAACTTAGAGCTATTGCCAACAAGCCTTCATCTACGTATGTGTTTTATGTTGAAGACTATATTGTGATATCCAAAATAAGGGAGGTGATGAAGCAGAAACTTTGTGAAGGTAAGCCTTAATATAATTTGGAAACAATTAATAACTGCACTTTCTTACATTTTGGCATAGCTCATTTATTTACACTTGTATAGTTATTTTTAATATCAAATAATTATGTTAGAATTGAGGTGAACAAAAATTTTTTATGGATAAGTTTTGTGTTTAGAAACACTTATAAAATCTATAGTTGGATAATAAAATATTTTGTTATATTTGTTGTTTTACCTTTCAATTGCAACATGTCTGTTGTAGAGATGGTAGAAAATAAAGACACATAAAGAATAAAAATATATGTAAACTACACATGATCATATCACTCCTATTAATGAGTTCTTTTCTCCTTTTTTATTTTGGCCTTTTTCTTTTCTCTCTCTCTCTCTCTCTTTTTTTTTTTTTTTTTTTTTAGTTCAGATTGTCTGAGAGTTTATTCATGTGACTAAGTAAGGATAGTATTGTACATATAATTTAATACCCAATTTTCATATTATTACATACTTTATTGTTGTGTGTATAATTTGCATACTATTAACATGTTAGCAGACAATCTCCTAAGATTATTTATTTAATAATCTCTATTTTTATATATTTAGTTCATTTCTACATTTTTCTATTATAAAAACAGGGAATATTCTTGAACATAATTCTGAATGAGAATCTTTCATTATTTTTTCAAAGAAAGATCACATTACTAACTTTTTTTATTGATTTCAGAGAGGAAGGGAGAGGGATATAGAAACCTACATCAGTGATGAGAGAGAATCATTGATCAGCTGGCTTCTGCACGCCCCCTATTGTACTATGACCTCCTGGTTCATAGGTTGACACTGAACCACTGTGCCACACTGGTGGGGAAAATTACTAATATTTTTAAAGCTCTGGAAAAATGTTGCAAATTGTACTTGAGAGACAAATGGAACTTCCATCTGCAGTGAGAGAACATTTGGAAATATAGTGCTTACCAGTTTATTTATTACTAGAGGCCCAGTGCACAAAAATTTGTGCACTCGGCGGGGAGGGTCCCTCAGCCTGGCCTGTGCCCTCTCACAATCTGGGACCCTCAGGGGATGACCACCTGCTGGCTTAGGCCTGCTCCCCGGGGGATTGGGCCTAAGCTGGCAATCAGACATCCCTCTGGCAGGCCGGCAGCCCTCAGGGGATGTCCACTTGCCAGCAGGGAGCAGACCTAAGCTGCAGTCGGACATCCTAAGCACTGCTGAGGAGGCAGGAGAGGCTCCCACCACCACCACTGTACTGGCAGCCATTAGCCTGGCTTGAGGCTGAGCAGAGCTCCTCATGTGGGAGCACACTGACCACCAGAGGGCAGCTCCTGCATTGAGCGTCTGCCCCTGGTGGTCAGTGTGTGTCATAGTGACCAGTCATTCCCAGTCTTTCTGCTGTTAGGGTCAGTTTGCATATTACCCTTTTACTATATAGGATAGAGGCCTGGTGCACGGGTGGGGGCCGGCTGGTTTTCCCTGAAGGGTGTCCCGGATCAGGGTGGGGGGTCCGCTTGGGTGCCTGGCCAGCCTGGATGAGGGGCTGAGGGCTGTTTTCAGGCTGGTGGGTGACTGAAGCTCCCAGCCTCTCCTTTTTTTCTTTTTTTTCTTTTTTATTCTGGGATTTATTTACCTTCTATAATTGAAACTTTGTTGCCATCACTGGAGCTGAGAGCCGGCTCCTACTCGCTCCAGCTCTGAGGCCACGGCCTGCTGAAAGCAAGTACCTGGGGTTTGTTTAGCTTTTATAATTGAAACTTTGTTGCTTTCGGAGCTCAGAGCTGGGCCGCGGCAGGCGGGGAACCTTGGCTTCCTCCATCACTGGAGCAAGCAAGCCTCCTGCTCGCTTCAGCTGCGTGGCTGCCGGTCGCCATCTTGGTTGGGTTAATTTGCATATCACGCTGATTAGCCAATGGGAGGTGTAGCGAAGGTACGGTCAATTACCATGTTTGTCTATTATTAGATAGGATGTATATGTCATACCATAAAATCTAACTTCATGATGACTCCATGGTATGGGAAAATTCCAATTTCTGTTAAACATTTACTTATGATCAGATTATTTTGGGGGAGGTAATTTGTTCAAATCTTTTATTTTTAACATTAATGGCATTTAATATATCATATACCTAGAAAAATAATATTCACGTAAAATGGAAAGACTTTTTAATCCAGTTTACTATCAGAAATTCCAAAACTTGATTAGTTCACATTTGATAGAAAAATTTCAAAAATTATTGTGGCTTAGAAAAAAATTAATTCCTCTATTTTAAAAAGTATTTGTTTGGGGGATATGGTAAATAAAAACATTTTAAAGTTTTTTAAATGACTTAAATTAAGCATATTCTTTAAATGAACTTTTAAAAAGGTACTATAACAAGTGTAAATAGTCATCACAGTTATTCTCTTTATGAATCTCTAACAGTAAGACTGTGTTGACTTTTGTCATCTTGAACAGGCTGGGATTTAGATTTTTAATATATTGTCAAAATACAATATTTGGTTTTGAAAGTAGATATATTTCATTATTAAAATAGACTTCATGGTGAGATATCACTTACCATTGATTTTTATCCTAAAACACAAGTTTGATTAAATATGTCTGCTCAATATTTGCTTCATAGTTTTGTTTTCTGTTGATATATATTTTGGCAAATGCATTTTATTTTAAAAATTCTAATTACCCATGAAAGAGTAACTGTGCTTAAAAGGAGTATAATTTTTTTTTAGCTAAAATGTACAATCTGTAAAAAACAAAAAAACAAATTTGAAATCTTGCCAAATATTTTTTCATCCACACTCAAAAAAGAATGTAGATAATGTCCATGTCTATTCAGTTCACATATATGCTGTACTGTAGCTATCTTATAAAGTATAGTCTTTGAAATCATGCTTATGGAATATATGGCCTTTTTGTACTTGACTTTTTATACTATGTTGTGATAATTGACTAAATTATCATTGTTTTATTGCAGCAGCCTCACATCATGTAATTTACATTTGAATTACTTGACAATTCCATATTTTGACAAATAATTAGCTTCTACTTTGAGGTTCTCAGCATGTACAATTACCATTTCCTAATGCTGTTTGCTTTTATGCTCTACTGTGGTTGATCCACAGTGAACAAAATATTATTTATATCACTAGAGGCCCGATGCACAAAAATCGTGCAAGAGTAGGCCCTCACAGCCCTGGCTGCCTCGTGGCCCTGCGGTCCCGCCCCCCGCCCACTGGTCGTTCTGGAAGGTTGTCTGGAAGGTCATTCTGTGGTCCGGTCTAATTAGCATATTAGCTCTTTATTATATAAGATTGTTCCCATATGGATTATTTCATCTTCCCTGACCTATTATTTCCCTTGAGGTGTATTCTGCACTGCATTCCTTATTTCAGGTCCACTTTTTGTTGATGAGCAATGGTTTCTTTATTGTCTCAGAGTCTAACATTTATTTCTTTTGTTTTCTATTATGTTTTCTTAATTTTTTAAATTTTAAATTAGAGTTTACATTCAATATTATGAATGTAAAGTACCATGCTGTACTTTACAATCCCATGATTATTCTGTAACTACCAATTTATACTTCTTAATCCCTTCACCTTTTTCACCCAGTCCCTCTTCCCCCTCCCATCTAGAAACCATCAGTCTGTTCTCTCTCTGAGTCTGTTTCAGTTTTGTTCATTTATTTTGTTCTTTAGATTCCACATAATTGAAATCATACCATATTTATCTTTCTCTGACTGAATTATTTCACTGAGTATAATACCCTCTAGGTCCATCCATGCTATTGCAAAAGGCAAAATTCCATTCTTGTTTATGACTGAGTAATATTTCATTGAATATTTGTACCAAAACTTTTTAAAAAATTTTATCTTTATTGTTGAAAGTATTACAGATGTCTCCTTTGCTTGTTTTTTTCCCCTCCATTGACCCCCTCCAACCTGTACCCACCCCTCCCAGGCCTTCACCACTCTATTGTCTGTGTCCATAGGTTATGCATATATCCATATAACTTCTCTGGCAATCTCTCCCCACTTGGTATCATTTCAATCTTCGTAAATATGTTGAGAATTGTGTTTTGACCTAACATGTTTTTTCTTGGAGAATGTTGTTTGTGTTTAAGAATGTGTACTTGCTGTTGTGTGGTGGGATGTTCTGCATATGTCTGTTAGATTCATTTGATCTGTAGTGTTTTTCACATCCTTTGTTTCCTTTTTGATCTTCTGTCTGGATGTTCTATTTATTATCCAAAGTGAAGCATTTAAATCCCTTACTATTATTATGTTATTGTATATTTCCCCCCTCAGTTATATATATATATATATGTATTTAGAGTTATTATATCTTTTATTTCTTGCTGGCAAATTGACCTTCTTATCATTAAATAATGTCCTTCTTTGTCTCTTTTGACAGTTTTGACTCAAAGCCTGTTTTATCTGATATAAGTATGAACACCTTTGCTCTCTTTTGGTTACTATTTGCATGGAGTATTTTTTCCCATCCTTTTACTTTTTACTTGTGTGTGTCCTTAATTAGAAAGTACATGTCTTATAGACAGCATATAGTTGAATTTTGGTGTTTTTAAAAACACATTTAACCAGTCTGTGTCTTTTTATTGGTGAGTTTAATTCATTTACATCTGAACTAATTACTGACAGGGAAAGATTTCATATTGCTCTTTTGTTGTTTGCTGTCATATAGCCTTTTTGTTGTTCTTTTCTCTCTTGTGGTCTTCCTCTGTGTTTCATTGATTATTTTTGTAGTGACATGCTTTGATTTGTTTTTCACTTTCATTTGTATAGGTTTTTTTCTTTGTGGTTACCATGGGGGTTACATTAAACATTATACTGTTATAAAAATCTATTTTAAGCTGATAATATCTTAACTTCAATCACATACAAATACTCTACATTGTTGCATCTCCCTGCCCCTCTCACACTTTGTTATTGATGCCACAAATTACATCATCTTATATGTGTATCCATTATCATTTTTACAGTTATAGTTATTGTTTA